GGGGGGGGAGCAAAGTGTGAAATTATGTTGCAATTGATATCCTCCATGAATCTTCATCTACCAATTACTATCCATCTTCAATTATTCAGAACAATTTTTATATCTCACTTGACCTTAAGAGATCAATGGTCTTTGACTATTTTATTGCATGTGGTCCATAACTACCCAAAAGTGAAATTTGGTAGTGGGTAGTGATTGAAATTCCCTTCAATGCGGTCTTTAATCATTCACCCATCTTTAACTAATTAGTTACCCACAAAGCAGAATAGAAAAAAAGAAATTAATAAATATATTGATCATCTCCAAACTTTTTCGTCCCGTTTTTTATTTTTCCTTTTCAATTGTTAATGATGAAATTTTATTCTTTCACATTTCTATTCCCATATCGCGTTTAACGAAAAATATAAGTTCTACACATTTAATTGTGGATCGTGGTTTGTGATCTTACACGTAACTAATTCTTGCATTAGATCATGGCAGGTTAGCCACTCTAACCCTACCTAAATCAATCATCATATCGTTCCTACCTAAAGCAATCATCATAAGTCTAAGTCGGGTTTTTGTGATTAATGAAAAGTTTTGAATTTTAATTTTTTTTTTCCTCTTCTGAAATGCCATGATACAGTTACCCAACTTCATAGTATCCTCAAAAATCGAGTTGGTATCATTTTTGTCAAACAAAAGCATTGCTTGTTGTATACTAGATAAACAAGAACAATGAAAACCCAAAAAAGATTGATGCTGAAATTTGGACATTTTCTGAGAATTTACCACCTACCAAGTGGTCCCAAACAATAAAAAGAAAATCACGAGATAAATAGGAAAAATCCACAAAAGTCATAACTAACACGTTGAGTGAGGATCAACGGTTATCATAACGACGACCGTAATTTGTTGTTGAATCGTTAAGTTGCGAGTTCGAACCTCACTAATCCTCTTTCTTGTTAAAAAAAAAATACGTCGAGTAGGTCGTGTTGCGAAAACAACTTCTCTTTTCGTAGGAGTAAGATTACGTACATCTAACTTTCTCTAAATTTTATAATAACGGAAGTCTCGTACACTTGGTATATCTTTTTATTTACGTCATCAACTCAGGCAACTAACTTAATTGAATCCTCAAGTCCACACAGCCGACAGCAGATAATGGTCCATCTGGAGAGTGGTTGAAACACAACATAATGGAAACTTGTAACTTAATCTTCATATGCTTTGGCATGGCTTCAACTCACTTTATATAAACGTAATCATGGTGTTGCCACATCAAACATTGAGGCATAGTACCATTCAGAGTATGTTAACCTGTTGGTAGTTGAAATAGAAAGATTTGAGAGGATTATTTATCGAGGTTTCAAGTTTGAGTCTATTATACTATTAAAAAAAATATATATTCTTTTGGCAGTGTATATTATAAGTGTCAATAAAAATCCCATTATTTTTTATAGAACACGATTTTGCCGAAATATCTATCAAAAACACAGTTGCGCTAGCAAAATACTATTCATTGTTATTAGCGTTTTCCCGGTGTCTTTCGGACATTTACAACAAACGTCATCTAAACCGAGGTTTAACAATTGTATTGTTTATAAGAGACACATTGATTGACTTGTTATATATATGTAATTTGTGAGTAATTGCAGTTATCCGAATTTAGCCAGATATGCTATTCAAATAATTTTTTTATTATAAAATTTAAAAATAAGAATTTGTCAACTTTGAGCCAAAAATGCATGCTGTATCTACCAGCACTTGATAAAATTAGGTCCACTTACCACGTGCATGGCATTTGCAGCATCTTCCCATTATGTTAGGTCGTTTTTTGCACATGGTTATACATTACCTTACACTCTCAGAAGATTTAGACACTATTAAGAAAGTCTGTGTCCAGATAATCTTCTAGACGAATTAATGTTTTTTATTTTTTCACCACATTTTTTCCGTCTCAAAAAATCATTTTTCTTGTAGTGCGACTTTGATAAAAACTTATTTTCGTAAGATTAATAATTGCCCTGATTACCTCTAAAAGTGTGCACGATAATTGATTACAAATAGTCTTATTCCAATTTTTTTTTATATATTAGAGACGGGTTTGGGAACTAAATTTAAAAATGATCTAAAAATTGAAGGATGAAAATTATGTATTCCAAGGGCAGTCATAAGTAGAAAATATAATAAGTGGACATTTTTTAGATTAGCCTGAAATCCATGAAGAATGTTTGTTAGATGTATTGATTCAACTTGGTGAAGGGTTAACTCTGCAGCCTTCATCTTTTTAAAGTGTTGGTCGTAGCTGTCCTCTGTTTAAAAATTTTGGTAAAAGATTAGTAGAAATTTGATATAAAAGACCTTGCTATTTATATTTTGTGTAATCATAGTCATAGATAGTGTGTCACTCTGCATAATGTCAAGAAAGTTTGTTAGACATATAATAAAGTAATAAAATCGGAAATTGTTTGAGAAGTCTTTCCTTTTATTTTTTTTTCTTAGAATTTTCAATTATTTAATTCTCATATATGATTAGATTCTAACACATGTCTCATGTAACTACTCATCTACTCCACTAGTTAACTATCATTCATTTAAGAAGTTTCAAAAAATGAGCCACTAATTTAAATATTTCGTGTATTGCATGGGACCGATGCTAATATATAATAAAGTAATGGTGAAGGCACTCCTGCCGCACAGTAAAAAAAAACACCAAAAAAGTTTATTGGATTTCAATAGGGTCTTTCTTTTGTGAAATTAAAGCCTTTTTTTTTTGTCGTTGGGTAGTTACCCTTTAAATGACAAGAATACTACTATTTTACTTGTTGAAATCTAAGAGGTGTTAGGGTTATTAATGCATTTATAATTACTTATATTCAAACATGTCACATCATATATGAATAATATTTTTTTTAGGTCGGAGTCACGGGTCGTATCAAAAATTATATAGCATTGGTTACCAAGATGTCACACCACTTAAATATGACCGCAGAGGGTACTCAAAAAAGCTTTGACATAATTTCTCAATCGTTTTTTTATTCTCTATCAATTTTTCCATGCCCACGTAGGGGTGGAATTCGTATAGCAGCGGAGATGGTATTAATATTGAAAATTATAATTTTTTTAAAGTATAAATTATAAATTTAAAAAAACATGATCGATCATAAAATATTAAGATCGATACTATATTTTTCATGATCATTCATAAATACTTGTACTCGATCACAACCTTCGTTAAAGGGTCGTAAGTTCTTCTCTATAAGGGATCGGAAGAAGGAGCTTTCATTCATAATCCTTGCCGTCCCACTCAGAGATATTAAGAACTTGAAAAGAGATTAGTTGCGGCGGACATTAGGTCTGTACAAATCCCTGATGCCTGTGTTTCCTTTCAAAACTGTCAGTGGTCCATGTCTTACTTTCTTTAGTATTGTCACTTCCAATCGCATTCTATTTTCTAGTGTAATTTTATTTTCTCTCACTTTCCTAGATGAATCTCCCAATATTCTAAACAGATAGTTACATACATATTCAATGGCGGGTTCAGATCCTTCGAATTTGGATCTGAAATAGTCATCGATAACAAGAATATGACCATCAAGTTTCAAACAGTTCATGTATCATTCAGTTCTCGATATTCGTTTTGGATCAAAGTCTGCTATATCGATGGAGATATCACACCTAAAATTATAATATTTTTGACATAATTTATAATTTTAATATTCATGATCGATCTCAAAAATATTATAATCAATTACAATATTTCATAATCGACAAAGTATGCCAAAAGAATAAGAAAAAAAAAAAGAAGAAGAAATATAATTAACCTCAAAAAAATATAAATTTCTTCAAAAAAATCTTTGAGATGTGAAAGTATGCATGGATTCTCCTGATGTACAACCAGTGGCTTTCAACGCTCTTTTTTTCTTCATTATTTACGAAATGCTCCCCATCGTGGCCTCGTGTGTACATTTATCTAAGTCAAACTAGGAACTAACACTTTTTTTTTTAACAGATGTTTACATCGATTTAAGTATATTTTGATTAGTTTTTTCTCCAATCTGATCACAAACAGATGATTCACGTCAAAATTAGAATATTTCTCTCGTGATCAAATTTTAAAAAATTGTCAAAATTACTAATTAGTTAAAAACATTTGATCCAATTTTAAGTCTAAAAAATATTATACCATTAAAGATGCACTAAATTTACTCTCTCTCTCTAACTCATAGTCTCATATTGACCGGGACTCCACTTCCCTGAACTCTCTATATAACCAATTCCAAACCCTTCTCTCTCCGTTCATCCCATCCTCTTTCTATCTCTACCTCTCCCTACCTTCCCTTAACTGTACCTCTTCTCTCTAACTAAAACCTTCTCTTCCTCTCTCCAGAATGGCTGAGACTCCCTCAAAACGCCAGAGAGAAGAAACCCATGAAGTCCCAGACTGTGAGGATGACTCAAAGCGCCACAAGTCATACAACCATATACTCTCTCTCCTCGAAGATGAAGAAGATGAACCTAACCAAGACTTGTCAGTCATCTTCTCAACCCTCCAACAAGAGCTCTCTTGTGACTCAACCAACTTCGACCCTTTACTGGGTCCCACGTCAGAGGCGGACCCAGACCACCAAAGGAGAGTCTCAGCCACCTCTGAGTGTAAAGTAGATGAAGAAGATGACAAAGAGAGGGTCATTAGACACCTTCTTGAAGCCTCTGATGATGAGCTTGGGATACCCCACAGAACAGACGGTGGTGATGAGAAGATCAACGGCGGAGACCACACCTTCTCTTTGTGTGATGGGCTTTGGGAGTTTGAAGATGAGGCTGCATACTACTATGAGTTGTTGCAGTCTGAACTTTTCATGTAGTTTGTTTGGGGTTAGAATGGAAAAAAGTTAATTTTAGGGAAGTGTAAAGATTAAAAGAGAGAGAGGAAAAAGGAGAAACTGAGGTGTTTTAGGGGTTTCATCTTGCTTCCCCTCTCCTTTTGCATAATTTCAAAGTGAAACCCCATTGTAATTTAATTAGGCTACCTTGCAACATTGAACTTAGATGGTATTTTTCTTTCTAAAACAGCTAAGTGAGAAAGGATAATATTCATTCTACTTAATTTACTGATCTAATAAATCGTGGTCAAATTAATGGAGAATTTTATTCAATAAACTCATTGTTAATCGTAATCACAATAATTTAAATTACGATAAATTACACTCACACTTTTCCTGACATTTGACTTTATTACATTAACACTCCCCTCGCATTTCAAAAATTATACCCAATGGTTAGAGGGAGTTAACTCTTTTAATAAAACGACAACTTTGCCCCCACTGTTTAACACAAACCCAGACCCAAACCTTTGCCCCTCTGCTTAACGCAAACCCAAACCCCAATCTCTCTCTGACTCTGTCTCTCGCTCCCACCAGCGAATCTCAATCCCTCTCTGACTTTCTCTCTCTCGCTCCCACTAGCGAACCCCAATCCTTCTCTGACTCTCTCTCTCTCTCCCTCTCTCTCTCTCCCACCAGTGAACCCAAACCCCAATCCCTCTCTGACTCTCTCTCTCTCGCTCGCTCCCACCAGCGAACCCAAACCCAAACCCCAATTCCTCTTTGACTCTCGCTCCCACTAGCGATCCCAATCATCAGTCTTCTCTCTCTCTCCCTCATCCCATCTTTGTGTGTGCATGTGTGTATATATATATATACACACACAGGCAGAGAGAGAGAGGAGAGGAGGTGGTGGCAGTTTCCATGTTGTGGAGGCGACGATTGGTGGTGGGTAATGGTGTTAATGGTGCATTTAGGGCCAAAATTGTAGGAGATCACTAGCCCTTCTCCCATCACTGCAACACCCTCCAGTAGCCACCCCCATCCAAATCTGAGAAATCAAAAGAATCTGATGTGAAGATCTGAGAAATCAAAAGGATCCGAAGCTTAAAAAATCTGCTTGGATGATTTTTTTTTTTGGGGGGGGGGGGTGTTTGGGGTTCGATTTTACTAGTGGTTGTTGGGTTTGTGTGTGTGGTGTGGTTGAGAAGTTGGAAATGGAGGTGGAAGAGAAGAATGTGGTGGAGTTGCTCGACTGTGATGGTTTTGTGTGTGTTTTGTCATTTGTGGAGGAGAAAATGAAGATGGTGGTGGTGGTGTAATGTTCTCTGTCTATGTTCTCTTTTTCTCTCTCTCTATCTCTTTGTGCTGGTGGTGTTTGGATGTGTTGGGTGGCAGATGTACTATTGCGGTGGTTAGGTTTGCGCAGTGGTGATGGTGGCGAAACTGGTGGTCATGGTGCCGAGAGTAAAAATTTATGTAATTAGATAAATAATAAATAAAAATAAATTCAATATGGGTTAATTGGATTAGGTAATTATTAAGGTTTTAAAAAAATAATTACTTTTTAAATTGTACTAATAGTACCAAATATTATTTAATAAACAAAAAAAATTAATATTTTATTTATTAATGTAATGTATTTAGAAATTAAACATATAAGTGTTAAATTTTAATATATATATTTCATATATAGATTAAAAAAATAAATGAGAGGTTGGATAAATTGGAAGGGTATTTTTGGTATTTTGAAAATTATGATTGATGATCTCAACTTTGACTGTTAGCAAATTTAACGACTGTTAGTTAGAGGGAAGAGAATGTGACTGTTACAAGTTTTAAATATCAAGAGAGTTTGGTGTTATTTTTAAAATGTGAAGAGGTGTCTGTGTAATAAAGTTAAATTATTAAGGGGTGTAAGTGTAATTCATCCTTTAAATTATTATATTAAATCTCTAAAGTTAAGTTTAAATAACATTGTTTAAAAAGAAAATGATATATACAAGCATCGTTCCCCCCCCCCTCCCCCCAAGTTATAGGGCATGGAGCACACCTGTTGATAAAGGAAAAAATATTAACTTATTTAGATTATTTATAATTAATTATAAAATATTGTAATTAATTATGAATAATTTTTATGATTGATCAAAATATTTCATGTCGATTATAGCCTTTTGCAGTTGTAACTTACATTTTAAAAAATTACAAATACCTTAAAATATTACAATTTGTTATATGATATATCTTTCGATACTAGAGTCGTACTCGTAATAAAAAGACAAGTTGACACTATGTGACTAACACAACAATAGTTGTAGATAAGTAAACGATCTAATTATAGCATCAAAATGTGACTTTTTTTTTTTGGAATCGTATCTAATCTTTTCAATCAAAAACCATTCAACTGTTTCAATACATAAAGCGGAGCATTGTAGTAGGGCCCAATCCCTACTACAATGCTCTGCTAACTCCAATCGTCTTTCACACTCACTTAAGTCTTAACTTTTAGCCCGTATCATTCTTTTTTAAATATGTGGAATATTTCAAGTTTTTTTTTATTTTATTATTTTACTTCATCTTCTTATCTTTATGATTAATGACTATAAATGATTTAATATGAAAGATCTACAATCAACAAATATATTTTAATATAATATTGAAAATATTTTTTGGTACTTTAACCTTATCCATATGTATATTGTATCGAGCTTACATTGTATAATATTATATATTGTAGATTATATTTACGTGTAAATATTTTTATTTTTATTATAAGCAATTAGGAATTGAATTCTCACAAAAAGCAAGATTGGTCTCTTAGATGTGCCCTTTGCTAAAAACGAGCTTAGTTTGCCCTGATTTCAATTTTAAACATTCAAACATCAACTTCCAATCGTAACCAAAAGAGATTAGTAATTGGTTTAGTAGTTATCATCACTATTCTCGCTATTAAACTTTAAGATTAAAGATTCGAAACTAGTCGTCCTTCTCCCTATAATAGTGTCTGACAAAAAGAAATTGTACCCCAATAACTTTCCGTTGATTTCTTTGGATACCTGGCTTTTTCTTTTTCTTTTTCTTTTTCTTTTCTTTTTTACTTTATTTAAAGAGTTTCTTGGAATTGGTTTTGGTTGTTGTGTTTTTCCATTCACCTTTGGCAAAGATAAAGCTTTGATATTTCTTTTCTTGTAACTTGCAAGTCACATTCATAATTGATCAAAACCAGTCAACAAATACTAGGGCTATTATTAGAGCTATTAGTAACGTTGATAATTGAGCTAAATTTCATAAGTTTAAATTGAACCTCTGAAACTCGTTTTTTAAAACGAGTTTAAAAAGTTATTCAAATTCCACTCGTTTAAAAAATGAGTTGAGCCCGAGTTGAACTTAAGTAATTTGACTATTTTACATATAAACGAACCGAACAAGTCTAAAAAGTTATTCAAACTTGACTAATTTAATACACAAGTCGAGCTCAAATCAAATCGGTTCTAANATCTCTTTGTGCTGGTGGTGTTTGGATGTGTTGGGTGGCAGATGTACTATTGCGGTGGTTAGGTTTACGCAGTGGTGATGGTGGCGAAACTGGTGGTCATGGTACCGAGAGTAAAAATTTATGTAATTAGATAAATAATAAACAAAAATAAATTCAATATGGGTTAATTGGATTAGGTAATTATTAAGGTTTTAAAAAAANTATTCTCGCTATTAAACTTTAAGATTAAAGATTCGAAACTAGTCGTCCTCCTCCCTATAATAGTGTCTGACAAACAAAAATTGTACCCCAATAACTTTCTGTTGATTTCTTTGGATACTTGGCTTTTTCTTTTTCTTTTTCTTTTTCTTTTCTTTTTTACTTTATTTAAAGAGTTTCTTGGAATTGGTTTTGGTTGTTGTGTTTTTCCATTCACCTTTGGCAAAGATAAAGCTTTGATATTTCTTTTCTTGTAACTTGCAAGTCACATTCATAATTGATCAAAACCAGTCAACAAATACTAGGGCTATTATTAGAGCTATTAGTAACGTTGATAATTGAGCTAAATTTCATAAGTTTAAATTGAACCTCTGAAACTCGTTTTTTAAAACGAGTTTAAANTGATTGATGATCTCAACTTTGACTGTTAGCAAATTTAACGACTGTTAGTTAGAGGGAAGAGAATGTGACTGTTACAAGTTTTAAATATCAAGAGAGTTTGGTGTTATTTTTAAAATGTGAAGAGGTGTCTGTGTAATAAAGTTAAATTATTAAGGGGTGTAAGTGTAATTCATCCTTTAAATTATTATATTAAATCTCTAAAGTTAAGTTTAAATAACATTGTTTAAAAAGAAAATGATATATACAAGCATCGTTCCCCCCCCCCCCCCCCCAAGTTATAGGGCATGGAGCACACCTGTTGATAAAGGAAAAAATATTAACTTATTTAGATTATTTATAATTAATTATAAAATATTGTAATTAATTATGAATAATTTTTATGATTGATCAAAATATTTCATGTCGATTATAGCCTTTTGCAGTTGTAACTTACATTTTAAAAAATTACAAATACCTTAAAATATTACAATTTGTTATATGATATATCTTTCGATACTAGAGTCGTACTCGTAATAAAAAGACNCCTCTCTCGCTCCCACTAGCGATCCCAATCATCAGTCTTCTCTCTCTCTCCCTCATCCCATCTTTGTGTGTGCATGTGTGTATATATATATATACACACACAGGCAGAGAGAGAGAGGAGAGGAGGTGGTGGCAGTTTCCATGTTGTGGAGGCGACGATTGGTGGTGGGTAATGGTGTTAATGGTGCATTTAGGGCCAAAATTGTAGGAGATCACTAGCCCTTCTCNGGGGAGGAGGTGGTGGCAGTTTCCATGGTGTGGAGGCGACGATTGGTGTGGGTAATGGTGTTAATGGTGCATTTAGGGCCAAAATTGTAGGAAATCACTAGCCCTTCTCCCATCACTGCAACACCCTCCAGTAGCCACCCCCATCCAAATNGTCCATTCACCTTTGGCAAAGATAAAGCTTTGATATTTCTTTTCTTGTAACTTGCAAGTCACATTCATAATTGATCAAAAACCAGTCAACAAATACTAGGGCTATTATTAGAGCTATTAGTAACGTTGATAATTGAGCTATATTTCATAAGTTTAAATTGAACCTCTGAAACTCGTTTTTTAAAACGAGTTTAAAAAGTTATTCAAATTTCACTCGTTTAAAAAATGAGTTGAGCCCCAGTTAAACCTAAGTAATTTGACTATTTTACATATAAACGAACCGAACAAGTCTAAAAAATTATTCAAACTTG